GGAGCTCCATACCGAGCAAGAGGTCATAGTCTTCCGAGTCGGATACCAGACAGTGTACTCGGATTCTGGTCTCTTCGGCCCTTCCTGGCGCCAACACCACTTCTTGGGGTCGGATGGTTCTCGGTAGCCATGTTCCATCCCCTCCTTCCGCCGTTTGAATCCTTACTCCTTCCGGCGTCACATTCTCGGCCCGATGCAGTCCCAGCCTTTCGGCCAGTCGCCTTCCCACCAGCACTTGGGACGCCCCGGTATCAATAATTGTTGTGCCCGGGTATTTCCCTTCCACTGCTACCGTCCCCTCCAGCGCTTCCACCACGCAAGGACGAGCCGCCATCCTCTCAAACGGGTGCCTCCTGGGCCCCATTCGGGCCACCGCCCGCTGCACTGCTTCTTCCGCTGCTCCTGCCGCCTCCTCTACGGCCTCGTCTACTGTTGCCCGCGGTCCCCTCCTTACTGTCGCCGTGCCCCTTCGGCCGTCTGCGGCACCACTACGCAGGCCCAGGTCTTCCCTCTCCCTCCCCGGGTTTGCCGCCATGAAGATGGGCTCCGGTCCTTCTTCGTCGGACTCTTCCGCGTACCTTGCGACGTGGACTGGCTTTTCCTCTTCTGCCATCGTGTCCTCTTCCTCTGCCCGAAGCCTCCTCAGCTCCTCTTCCAGCTCCTCGATCCTTCCTCTCCTTCCCCCTCGACCCTTCTGCTCGCGTTGCTTAGTGTAGCAATTGTCAGCCTGATGCCCCTTTCTCTGGCAATAGGAGCAGGTTTGCAGCTTGGGGCAGTCCCTCTTGAAGTGCCCCGGCTCCCGGCACTTGTAGCAGACCGGCTCTTCTCCAGGAGAGTGGGCCGCGCTGCGAGGCTTCCGCGTCCGACTCCTAGAGGCTCGATCCCTTTCCTGGTCTTCCTCTTCCGCCTCCTCCCCAGCCAGTAGGGCCCCTCCCCAGCCGACTCCCCTGCGCTCTCTCTCCCTGGGCGGCTTCTCGGTCTTCCTCCCCAGGTCATAGAGGCTCAGGGACTGCTCGTGTCGCCATGCGATTTCATACGCCTGTCGCAGCGTGGCGTTGGGACCCAGGTCGTATGTCCGATCCCTCACGGTCCGTGCTAGCTCTCCGGCCAGGCCGTCCAAAAATTTGGCTACTATAATACGCGGTTCGCTGCAGCCGATGTCCTCCGCCAGTTGATGCACTCGCCGATAATAGCCCAGGAGAGACTCTCGTGAACCTCGTCTCAACTGGTCGAACTCCCTCATCCTGGCCGGCGTTTGCGTGGGGAAGTGCGCCGCCAATTCTTGCAGGAAGCGCTCCGTCGGGTCCCGTAAGCGGATGGGCTTCCCTTCTTCGTCCCGTAGCAGTCGGCCCTCCTCGTCTCGCTCTTCCTCCTGCAGCAGCGGGTCCCTAATCTCCAGGTAAAACGCTTCCGCCTCCCCCGCCAGCGTGTTCCCCAAAGATCTGAAGAAGTGCCGTAAATCCAGGCCGTCCATCTCCCATCCGTATTTCTCGTTCCGCACGTGCATCGCGTAGGTCTTCACTCTCGGTCCCGACTCTTGATCTCCACTGAAGCGACTCGGAACCTCCACCTTAGGGAGGCTGGTGTATCGGTAGCGTGACCCCTCCTCCCACAGCGAGCGTCTTGAATTCCCGCTTCCGGATGGCGTCATCTGCCCTCCCCTTCCTCCTTCTGATCTGGCAACTGGCGCAGCGATGCCCCTCCCCGCCACCGTCGCCTGTTCTTCTGACGGCGACAGCTCTCCCTGGGTTCTCTCGGCGCGCATCGCAAATCGTCCCGATCCGCGGGGGGTCATACCACCTCCGCGTCGTTCTTCCCGCCGGCCCTTGTCCTCGGCGTCATTCCGGGCAGTTACTCGCTCGGGATCGGATCTCTCCCCCGGGCTTCCTTCCACTTCGTTCCCCGCCGGAACTCCTTCCTTCTCCGGTGGTTCTCCCATTCCGGACAGCTTGGCACCACTACGTAGTGACATGCCCGCCATGACTTTTGTTTGTAAAGAAGCCCTCGACGCGAGTGGCTAGTTTCCTTCCCTAGGCACAAATGGCCGCACTAGTTTGGCTTCTCCGACGTGGATCTAGCAGTTGCTCAGCTTGACGACAGATCACAACTGAATCACAAGCTTTCCCACAATTACGAGAAGACAAACAAAAGTGAATTGGTGTCCTTGCTGTGCTAGTTTTGGCTTCCTGTCACCCCTCGTGAATCTGTGCCTTGGGGTCTGCCAACTACCTCTCGCACCGCCCAACCCTTGGGCTCCTTTCCATGCATGCGACTCGGGCAAGCCTCGTCACCCCTGTCCCCTTTCCGCTTCACCGGTGGCCCTTGCCAGGTCAGCCGTCGTCCCGTCCTCATTTCGAGTGGCCCCGCCTCGATTCTTCTATCCCTGCCACAATTCTAATATCACCACAAAACCCCCCCCCCTTACCCGTACACTCTACAGTACAATTTATAACAACAATACAACAATACTACTTCCCTTACGATTTACCCAACCATACTCACCTTAGGAGCTGTCTCATGAACTTTTGTGCACTCATTCGCAAGAGTCATGCGACATTGACAAGGAGAAATTGGGCAATGCACAAGTTGACGTGCAGTGGCCAGATGTGGAGCTTTGGAGTTATGATTTGCATCCAGTGCACGGCGCGCGACCATGGTCTGTGGCAAGTGCATTCATCATGCATGCACATGCAAGTGTAGGCGATGTTTCACGGTCAATCGTTGGGACGACTGCGTGGGCCAGTGCTGACGAATTGACGGGTAAAAATGCTCACATAAGAGAAATTATAACTGCTCATGTGGATTGGTTACTTTGTCATGTTTCCCTCCAATATTGTCGTTCACCAGGAGATGATGGCATGGGTGGTGCGGACCCAACATTGTCTAACCCTGCAAGTAACAACGAGGGTGCAGTTCACGATGGTGATGCAGCAGGAAGCAGAATTGGACAGACTTTGCCTCGGTGGGTTGGGCGCAGGAAACGAAAACGGGGTGGAGATGAGGTACACGCTGGCGATGAAGAGAGTACAGTGGCGCAGCACTTCAGCTCGCATTTTTTCCATGTGACGGATGAAGGAAGCGGGCACCCCTATGACCCCTGATGATGTGGCAAAGGAGATTGGGACGGCGCCAAACCATTGGGCGGGTGACCATTCCGGGTGTGGAAAGCCTGGTGGTGTCCTGGGATGTTGACCAACAGCTCTGTCAATGAGTCATGTTATTCTCTGATCCTCAGTTACACCCCTAAGCGTATTCAGTTCCAGGATAGTCTCGTGCCACGGGTGGCTCTTGCTGTCTTGCACTGGAAGAACTCAATAAATAGATTGGTCACTTTGTATCAAACACGGGTACGGCAAGTGACGCGGGTGCATCGGGGCAACAAGGATCGAACACTAGGACCGATGGATTGGTCGTGGGTTGATCAGATCATGTCGGAGTAGCAACGATCGTTAGGGGATGGTGTTGATGACGATATTAATGAAGATGCAATAACAAGCCAAGGAGCGGAAAAGTAGTCCGCTAACATATCTGATGGAGGGGGCCACCCATATGTACAGCAGCTCGCTACACCTGTGCGACGTAGCCAGAGGGGTCGCGGCCGGTCATCGACGCATGGGGCTGTGCGCAGATTTCTAAGTGAGAGTAGTTGCACATTTGCAATTTATCACGCCCTATCTCATCAACTTGACCGACACTTTTTGTTTGTGCTAATGTTACAGGTGATGTCACCAACTATCCTCGGTAAACATCCACAACACACCTATGGGGTTCAGAAAGGTCCAACAATATCATTTTGGCCGCCACGCCGCATCGCTTCCGGTATCAACGACGCCAACGTGCTCGCCCATGGTAATAATGAACCCTACTATTGTTATTATTTATCCTCAAACACCACTAGTGGGCCTTCAAATCTATCCCCCCCTCTCCTCTCCACTCCTCCTTGTCTCCCTCAAGCCCTTCCTCTTGACCAAATACCTTGTGATGTTTCGCCTCCCCATCCCCCATGCCTGCGATACATCCCATGTCAGCGCCTACAATTGTTCTCGCAAGTGCAAGAAGTGCCGCTGCTGCAGTACTTCCAGAGGGACATGGAGGTGGCAGGGCGGCCTTCCCTGGTGGAAGCCTCGGCCCCCCGGGACGTTTGCTGCCTAGTGGCAAATGAAACCTGGTGCAGTGCAGTTGACCTTTGGTGCATTTGGCATCTGCACTAGTGCATGATATCCCATGCCATCTCCCATACCCTTATTAGAAGCCATCCCAAAGACAATCACCTTGCCTCTTTCCCACCTCCCCTCTCTCTTCTTTTCCCCCCTTCCCCACCACTCCCCACTCCCCCACGTTCTAACAACAATTGTACGCAATAAGCAATGAGAGCCAGCTTGTTAACCTGCTGCCCCTCCTCCCTGTTCTGAGCTCCCTTTACCATCTTCTTCTCCTCTGCCCCCCACCCCATTCACCCCACGACCCCCCCATCCCCCCCTTCTCCCCTTTGCAAATCAGCCATTGCAAAGGATCAGTAATGAGAGCCCCTCGAAATTTCCACTCTACCCCTCCTTTCATTTGCTCGACGCCGCCACTCCCCGCCACTCCTCTCTGCTGGGCTTACATGGACATATTCAACTCGACCGTCTTAGGGTCAAGATTGAGATAGGGCACATACAGTACAGCTCTTGTATACAGTATGGTCAACAGGTAAACCCAATTCAGCCTATAAACCATTGGCACCAAACAAAGCACGACCCACAAGTCGATCCCTGCTGCCAATCTCCATATCATGCCGCGGCCTCTTCACTCTGTGCTTGCCTTCTTGTGCCTTCCTTCCACGCCGCTCCGCACTGATCACACCACACAACTCTACTTAATTCAAATGTCTTTGCCCCATGATCCAGAATCAACACAGTTGCCTGCACAGTGTTGCCTGTCACGCGTTGCAGCTGCCAATCCCTCCTTACACGCAGGGAGGGCGGCAACATCAAATGCAGGCCTTATCGGGCGCAGGTCTAGGGCAGCAGGGGAGGTTGAAGGCAGTCTCGAGAGAAGGCTGCCTTGCAGCTCTGCCAGCTGCGCGCCTTATCTCGCATAACCCGCCGAAGTGTGCCATGGGCTGCTGATGCTCCGTGACCGGCGTGGCGGTGCGCCGAGGGGTGCGCCGAGGGGTTCACCTCGGGACGGGTCCAGTCGTAGATCTGCTTCCCAGCATCTGGGGGACTCGGGAGTGGGGCGTGGGAGAACAAGGGAGTGAGTGGGAGAGCAAGGGAATGAGCATGGCAGGAAGGACTGTGCAGAGGCGTGGGATGGGTGGCAAGCAGGCTGTTTTGAAGGATTGGAACAGCACATGTAGAGAGTGCCTGGGCCCGGAAACGACACTCCAGCCGAGTGCCATCCGGGCAACGAATGGCAATGCGACGGCAGGCTGGAATGGGCACTACGCGCTCCTTTGGTAACTCAACCTCCTCGTCCGCTGCCCCTCCTACCCACGCCCCTTGTTGCTCCTGACCCTCTGCCGCACGAGAGGCGTCGTCCCTGCTACCCTGCATGGGCCCATGTCCCCACCTTGCTCCCCACCTTGCCCACCTTCCCGCCTCGGCCCCCTCTTCCTCTGTATGCCCCTCCATGGAAGCCGCCAGCGCTAGGCGTGGCTGCTCTTCCTCGTCCTCCTCGCAGCTCCCCACTGCCCCCACCCCCGCTCCCACTTTTTCTCTATGGGCACGTCATGGAGCTTCTTGGGCGGCCACACCTCCCCACCAGCACCGGGTGCGCCTCCCACAGGGTCACGGTCGATGAATGGCATCAGGTCTTGGGTGGACGTGCACATGCACACACATACAAATACTACTAACGCATGCATGCACACAAACATGCACACACGCAGGCATGCATGTAGGCAGAAAGACACGCACACTGATCAAACGCCGGCAGGCATGTAGACAGGCAAAGTGGTGACCAGGGTTCCACAAGACATGTGAGGAGGAATCTGAGGGAGAATATGAAGAGCACACAAGTGGTGCGTGTGAGTGCTGTGGAAGGGGACACGGGGAAGCAGGGAAGGGGACACGGGGAAGCAGGGAAGGGGACATGGGAAAGCAGGGAAGGGGACATGGGGAAGCAGCGAAGGGGACACCAGAAAGCAAGTAAAGGGATGGGGGCAAGAAGGGAAGGGGATGAGGGGAAGCAGGGAAGGGGATGGGGGCAAGCAGGGGGGATAGGGGGAAGCACAGAAGGGGATGGGGGGAAGCAGGGAAAGGGACATGGGGAAGCACGGAAGGGAATCGGGGGAAGCAAGGGAAGGGATGGGGAGAAGCAGGGAAGGGGATGGGGGGAAGGAGGGAAAGGGATGGGGGGGAGAAGGGAAGGGGATGGGGGGAAGCAGGGAAAGGGATGGGGGGAAGAAGGGAAGGGGATGGGGGGAAGCGGGGAAAGGGACATGGGTAAGCAGGGAAGGGGATGGGGGGAAGCAGGGAAAGGGACATGGTGAAGCAGGGAAGGGGATGCGGGGAAGCAAGGAAGGGGATGGGGGGAAGCAGGGAAAGGGAAATGGGGAAGCAGGGAAGGGGGTGGGGGGAAGCAGGGAAAGGGACACGGGGAAGCAGGGAAGGGGACATGGGAAAGCAGGTAAAGGGATGGGGGGAAGAAGGGAAGGGGGTGGGGGGAAGCAAGGAAAGGGACATGGAAAAGCAGGGAAGGGGATGGGGGGAAGCAGGGAAAGGGACATGGGGAAGCAGGGAAGGGGATGGGGGGAAGTAGGGAAGGGGATGGGGGGTAGCAGGGAAGGGGATGGGGGGAAGCAGGGAAAGGGAAATCGGGAAGCAGGGAAGGGGGTGGGGGGAAGCAGGGAAAGGGACACGGGGAAGCAGGGAAGGGGACATGGGGAAGCAGGTAAAGGGATGGGGGGAAGAAGGGAAGGGGGTGGGGGAAAGCAGGGAAAGGGACATGGGGAAGCAGGGAAGGGGATGTTGGGAAGCAGGGAAGGGGATGGGGGGAAGCATGTAAAGGAATGGGGGGTAGAAGGGAAGGGGATGGGAGGAAGCAGGGAAGGAGATGGGGGGAAGCAGGTACATGGATGGTGGGAAGAAGGGAACGGGATGGGGGGAAGCAGGGAAGGGGATGGGGGGAAGCAAGGAAAGGGACATGGGAAAGCAGGGAAGGGGATGGGGGGAAGCAGGGAAAGGGACATGGGAAAGAAGGGAATGGGATGGGGGGAAGCAGGGAAGGGGACACGGGGAAGCAGGGAAGGGGACACGGGGAAGCAGGGAAGGGGACACGGGGAAGCAGGTAAAGGGATGGGGGAAAGAAGGGAACGGCATGGGGGAAGCAGACAGAGGGACATGGGAAAGAAGGGAAGGGGATGGGGGAAAGTGTTGGTGTAAGGGCCTAATAAACTCAAGCTATTAAGACTTTATCAAACTTAAAACCTCTCCTCGGGGTCACCTCCAAGGGTCCTTGGGTGCCTGGTACAAGACCAGCCCCTATCCTCGGGTCCGAGTTTGTAGAGAGAGGGATCAAGAGGGACTTAGTCAAAACAGCAAGTGTACCTTGAACGTCGCGCAGCGTATCGTGCAGACCGTCGATCGGATTAAGCTGAGAATTTCATATATCGAAGCTCACTCTAAGAGCTTTAAAATAAGCCAAGTTGCCTCGCGAAAAGTGTTGGGTGCAAATTCACATTGCACGACATCCAGCCGTCTGTTTGTACGAGTATGCGTGTGCGAATGCATTTGCGTGTGAATGGTATGTTCTTGTGTTTGTTTGCTTTCGCAATTTTCGCTTGAAGCATTTGCAGGTACTCGCACAATATGCGCTTCGGCATAACATTGTACGCGCTATGAACAGTACAAGCAGAAAGGACGAGCTCGCAAAGGAACCCAAGATGGAAGCTTTGCGGTTCGGCTTACTTGATTGCGCAGATTCAGTTCTATCCAACTCGAAATTGTACTGTTTTGTTTTGGTTAACTATAGTGTAGCAGGGCAGGCACTATAGGGGTACAATTTAGGTGAAGGTTGGATGTTGTTTGTCTGTATCTGCATGCTACAGGGCCAGGGGAAACCAGCGGAACCAGCATTTGGCTGGTTGGGCAAAGACAAAACAGGTTCTGTTTTTAGGACCTGAACCTGGTTGTTGTTTTCCCAGGTTGGAAAAATAGAACCAGAGGTTGTTCACCAACCTACCACCTGCTATTCTGTCCAGCCAAGTTGGTTCTGTTGCTTGGAATTATTTGGGATCATCCCTGGTTGTTCCCAGGTTGATTCCCAAGGTCCTTGCTAGCTAGAGCTATTTATTCCTTCTCTGTTTGTACCTGAATATAGTGAAATTGATTCAAGCGAATTCCTTCCTTGCTGGAATTTCCTTTCTACGCGGTGCGACGGCGGAATGCTACCCGAGTCAAACGCAAGTACGCTAGCACTCGAACGCTAGGCAAATGCTGTCGGAGCCATAACTTCGTAATGGCATAACTTTTCGCGAGGCAACTTGGCTTATTTCAAAGCTCTTAGAGAGAGCTTCGATATAGTAAATTCTCACCTTAATCCGATCGACGGTCTGCACGATACGCTGCGCGACGTTCAAGGTACTCTTGCTGTTTTGACTAAGTCCCTCTTGATCCCTCTCTCTACAAACTCGGACCCGAGGATAGGGGCTGGTCTTGTACCAGGCACCCAAGGACCCTTGGAGGTGACCCCGAGGAGAGGTTTTAAGTGTGATAAAGTCTTAATAGCTTGAGTTTATTAGGCCCTTACACCAACAAGCTGGTATCAGAGCTGCGTTATAGTGATCCTCGTTATAGGTAGCTATGGCGGGGAACACCTCGGCGGTAGCTGGTGAATCTTCAGCCCAAGATCGTAGCGGCAGCCATGATTCTGGTGTTTCTGCGCCAAGGGGAGCGCGAACAAGCCAGGGCTCGCTGATCAAGGAGGTGCTGGAAAACTTCACCGTCGAGAAGTTCAATGGTGAGGGCTATGATGATTGGGCCTGGAAAATGCAACTTTATTTCCGTCAGATCGGTTTGCTGAAACTAATGATTGGGGAGGAGCCTAGACCGGGTGACCCCGCCCTTCAGGAAGATTGGGACGAGCGCGCCTCGGCTGGCTACTACTTGATGTCGCAGAGTTGGGAGCTGAACCAGCGTCACCACGTCATGCACCTGCTGCCGGAGGTTGAGTGCGGTCCGAAGGCGTGGACCGTGTTGAAGGAGCTGCACGCCCCGACCTCCGTTGTTGCAACATTGATGCTGGAGAGGGAGCTGTCCGCGTTGCGCCTGAGCGAGGGAGAGCCGGTGCAACCTGTCCTGGAAAAATTGCGCGACCTCTACGCGAAGTTGGCGACCGCGGGAATCACCTACCCGGAGCAGACCAAGTGCCTGAAGATGCTCTCGCTGCTGCCGGAATCGTGGCTTCAATTCACGAGCGGATTGAGCCTGCCGCAGAACCAGAGCTCGTGGACACTCGAGTGGGTGCGGACAAAGATTCTAGAGGAGGACTTCCGTCGCCGTCAACTGAGGGGTGGAGACGACGGCAGCAGCGGCTACGGGATGCAAGGGAGCCGACGTGGCAAAGGACGTGGCTTCGGTGGTGCTGGACGCGGTGCAAAGAAAGACGACGACTCCAACGACCAACAAGGAGGTACCGGTTGGGGTCGCGGTGCGAAATCTGGACGTGGGAGCAAGTCGGGTGCTGGTGGCAAAATGAAAGGGAGCTGCTGGTATTGTGAGAAGGAAGGGCACCCCTGGATTTTGTGCTATAAGAAACCCGATGGATGGACCCCCCAGAATCGTCACCAGGATGGCGGCGCGCGGAGGAACCAGAAAAACGGCGCCAACATGGTCGCTGATTCGTCCGACAACAACCCGAAGGGCAACGGCGGTGCGGAAAAGAAGAAGGAGCGCACCGCGGGCCAATTCTTCCATGTGGGAGACAAGGGGGAGCAAGGAGACGCATCTGCTAAGGCTGGAGTAGAGCTGCACCCCCTGGATTATTGGGTGTTGGACACAGGCGCTGCTTGGACAATGACGCCGCGCAAGGACCTGCTGGACGACGTACGAGCTGCTCCGATCAACGAGGTGTGCTCCGCCTCTGGAAACGCGCTGAAGGTCGCTGGTGCGGGACGAGCTGCATTTAAGGGAGCGGATGGCAAGCCGGTGGTGCTGCACGACGTTCTTCTTGTTCCTGAACTCAAGGCCAACCTCATCTCCCTTCGTAAGCTTGGCAAGTCTGGGGTGAGCACTAGCACGGATGGGGCACGCACTTATAAGGGGAAGCTGGGCAATCGGGTGCTTTGGGATATGCACGAGAGCAAGGACGTGTACAGATCTATGTGGCAGCTGCCGGCGCTAGCGTGGCACGGTGGGGGGCAGGCTGGAGAGGGGTCTTCATCCCAGGGGGAGTGCAACGCCGTTGGAGGGGTTGGTGTGAAAGTGTCGGCCAGATCTGGGGAGACAGATTGGGCAACTGCACACCGAGGTTTGGGGCATGTGGCAATGCCTTTGCTGAAGCAGCTGGAGAAGGATGGAGCCGTTAAGGGCTTGAAGCTGAACGGACAACCACCCGATGATAACTGTGAAATTTGCCTCCTTTCAAAGTTCAACCGTTTCCCCTTCCATAGTGTGGCTGGCAGGAGCAAAAAGCCGTTGGAGCTGGTCCACATGGACTTGGTGGGGCCGCTGCCGATGCAAGGGCACAAGGGGGAGCGGTACTTCCTAACCATTGTGGATGACTGGAGCAGGCTAATGTGGGTGTATCCGCTCAAGCATAAAGATCACGCCGCCTCCACGATTCGAGACGATTGGCTGCCGTTCGTGGAGAAGCAAGTGTTGGTGTAAGGGCCTAATAAACTCAAGCTATTAAGACTTTATCACACTTAAAACCTCTCCTCGGGGTCACCTCCAAGGGTCCTTGGGTGCCTGGTACAAGACCAGCCCCTATCCTCGGGTCCGAGTTTGTAGAGAGAGGGATCAAGAGGGACTTAGTCAAAACAGCAATAGTACCTTGAACGTCGCGCAGCGTATCGTGCAGACCGTCGATCGGATTAAGCTGAGAATTTCCTATATCGAAGCTCACTCTAAGAGCTTTAAAATAAGCCAAGTTGCCTCGCGAAAAGTTCTGCCATTACGAAGTTATGGCTCGGACAGCGTTAGCCTAGCGTTGGAGTGCTAGCGTACTAGCGTTGACTCGGGTAGCATTCCGCCGTCGCACCGCGTAGAAAAGAAATTCCAGCAAGGAAGGAATTCGCTTGAATCAATTTCACTATATTCAGGTACAAACAGAGAAGGAATAAATAGCTCTAGCTAGCAAGGACCTTGGGAATCAACCTGGGAACAACCAGGGATGATCCCAAATAATTCCAAGCAACAGAACCAACCTGGCTGGACAAAATAGCAGGTGATAGGTTGGTGAACAACCTCTGGTTCTGTTTTTCCAACCTGGGGAAACAACAACCAGGTTCAGGTCCTAAAAACAGAACCTGTTTTGTCTTTGCCCAACCAGCCAAATGCTGGTTCCGCTGGTTTCCCCTGGCCCTGTAGCATGCAGATACAGACAAACAACATCCAACCTTTACCTAAATTGTACCCCTATAGTGCCTGCCCTGCTACACTATAGTCAACCAAACAAAACAGTACAATTTCGAGTTGGATAGAACTGAATCTGCGCAATCAAGTAAGCCGAACCGCAAAGCTTCCATCTTGGGTTCCTTTGCGAGCTCGTCCTTTCTGCTTGTACTGTTCATAGCGCGTACAATGTTATGCCGAAGCGCACATTTTGCGAGTACCTGCAAATGCTTCAAGCGAAAATTGCGAAAGCAAACAAACACACAAACATACCATTCACACGCAAATGCATTCGCACACGCATACTCGTACAAACAGACGGCAGGATGTCGTGCAATGTGAATTTGCACCCAACACACTCCCCCTCAGCCTGCCGGCTGCATCCCCATCATTCCATACTAGTTCATGCTCATTCCACTCATGCGCACACAACGCCAATGAGACTCATCCGCAAGCCTCTTGGTGAGGAAGTCCGCTGGCTGCTGGTGAGTCTTGATGTAGATCGGATTCACCGTCCCCCTCTTCACCTCCTTACGCAGCCAGTGCCACTTGATACGCATGTGCTTGTTCAGCCCATGAAGCACAGCGTTCCTGGCCATCCCAAGAGCTCCCTTGCTATCACAAAACAGCGGCGTAGCAACCTTCTGCTCCTGGCCAATCTCCTCTAACAACCTCCTCAGCCAAATCACCTCCTTCACCCCATGGAACATCGCCATGTACTCTGACTCCACGGAAGAGAGTGCTGTCTCCGTCTGCTTCTTTGACCTCCAACTAACCGGTCCTCCCCCAA